CAAGTTCGTCATTTGACATTGATGCAAAAAAAAAAAAAAAATCTCTTTGAATTTATACGATATTGGTTGTGAATGCCTATTACCTACTAAAGAAATGTTATCACTATGTTTAGATAAAGTTGTGTTTATTTCTGTAAATAGAAATCGTTTTTAAAATCTTGCAAACCTTAACATGTCGAAGTTGCCCCACTCTCTCCTACTTTTGGTAACGATAGTACATGTTGCCTTTCAAATAACGCTGCTTTTTCAGCTTCATTGACTGCTGTGAAAAGTTTTGATTTCACCTCTATTTGGAGATGAGCTGGAAAATTTTCAGTTGCATCCGACATACTTAGGAAAAAGCTTCTTATTGAGTTGTTTTCTTCTTTTTTTTGACTTATATCTTTACTTGCTAGGTAGTTTTGCAGCACGTCATTAGCTGGGGGTAGCTGACGGCATTTCTGAATTTTTGTCCTTGATGTTGATGTTGTAGTGGATGACGTCGATGAAGTGAGCGGTGCTGAACTATTGTTGAAGGAATCTTCTTCACTTGAATTACCAGTTTTTTCCTCTATGTTTGAGGTTTTAGGTCTCTCGGTGATGTGTGGGAGAAGGAAGGCCATCTGTTGTTCAAGCTTCCAGGGCCTAATTTTTCTTGCTGCGTCCCCACTCTTTGTTTTCCGTGCTTTAATGGCTTTGCGAAAATTGTCCCTTAATTTTTTCCATCTGTCTTTACATTTTGAAACTGAAATATAAATATTTGTTTTCAGATTCTTGGCTACGGGAGATTCATTTAGATCAATAATTGCATTTACGTATCGCTTGGGAGAAAGCACTGTTAGAGAAATTGTATATTTAACTTGCGACCTAATTTGGACCAAATTACGTAATATTGTTATGCCTAGCCCAACAAAGGAAATATGGAAAACTGTTAAAAAAGACTTCTACGAACTTTGGAATTTCCCTAATTGCATCGGTTCTATCGATCGGCAAACATGTTATTGATAAACACCTGCCAATAGCGGTTCGCTATATTTTAACTACTACTAAATGACATCGGCGCTGCTGCGAGATTTACCAGCTTTGCGATTCTTTCAATAAAACCATTAAAAATTTCAGCACTATATTTTGGAATCAGTATGTAAGATAAACACAGTAACATATGGATACATAAAATAGCTCATATAAATTAAATTAACTGTCAAACAGTATAAAATATCTTCGAACACTATAGGTATAAGACTACATTTTTATAAATAAAATTAACAAAAAATAAAAAACTCTATGGAAGTTGAAACGAAAATAATTAATATTTCATAGGTCCACCTCTAACGCGTATTACTTCTGCGCACCGACGGGGCATGCTATCTACTAAATGACGGATAAAGTCTTGAGGAATGTTTTCCCATTCCTCAGTGATAGCTTGGCTCAACTCGTCGAGAGTCTGTAGAGGATTGTCCCGAGATCTCACCGCTAACTTCAACCGTGACCACACATGCTCTATAATATTGAGGTCGGGAGATTTTGCAGGCCAATCCATCCGAATAATGTTATTAGCCTGCAAAGTCTCTGTTACGATTTGGGCCCTATGTGGCCGAGCATTGTTATCAATAAATTGAAAATCCCGACCATAATTCGCCGCAAACGGGACTACAATTGGGAGAATAATGTCATCCCGATAGGTTACAGCATTTACAGTGTGGCGAGTGATATACAATTCGGTTCTCCCGTTGTACATAACTCCAGCCCACACTGTGATGCCTCCACCGCCAAAGGCTTCCTGTGGAGCCATATTCTCCTCTTCGTATCTGAAAACATGCAGTGCATCCACTCTCGATTGTCCCAATATCGATACCGCTGTACCCACGTAAGCCGGGCAGCTCTATGAGCCTGCAGTAGCATAGTGCATTTATTCATTCTCCTAGCTCTGAAATTAACGTTGTCATCAACAACATAGGACTTAAAATTACTAGCACACAGCTTTTACAAGCGTATTTAAGTTGTTTTTATTCAAGGTTTTCCTTATAGTGCGGTCAGAAACTCGAATTCCAGTTTCTCGCCTAAAACTATCATTCAAGATCCTGGAACATTTGGTGCGATTTTGGCGGGCAAACCGTAACAAAGTCCTCTCTGATCGAACATCAATCTTACGATTTCCCCTGCCGGCACCGTACTGGTAATTGTGGCTTCCAGTTATCCGAAATCTGGTTTGAAGCCTGGATATGCGGCTTTGGTGCACATTGTAAAAATCTGCAATTTCTTGCTTTGTCTTGCCTTCGTGTAAGAGCCTTAAACAATTATCTCTTTCTTCTCTAGTAAATCTACGCATTTTAAATTAAAATATTAATTTGAAGTCATGAAATTATTAACTTGACATCTCAATCCAAATTGTCATAGCAATCCAAATGGTCATAGCAACCTCAATTTTATATATGATTTTTTAGGATATCACCCTTGAATGACAAATTTTTAAGACATTCAATACGGTTTCAAAGTCAATTTAATTTAATTTGAGCTATCTTATATACTTGTATGTTGTTGTGCAGATAACGCAATTTGAGAATGCAGAATGCAGATTAAGCGGGTTTGAAAGAGATTCAAGCGTTCCGGTACTTTTTACCAACCTTGTATAAATAGCCCCCCCCCCCCCTTATGACATGGTAGGTGCTAATAATTCACCAAATATCTCGGCTGGTTGGATGGTTATACAATAAAGCAGAGAAAGGTTGGTGCCATATCAATTGACAAAGAGCACTGTGCTCCCTAAAAATCGCAGTACATGTTACGTTTTACGACGCGTAATATCTCTAGTTACTCTGAAGCGCAATTATCTTTACAGACCACCCCCCAATAATTAGAATTAGTATTAAAAACTTACTTTTTTTCCACCCTGTATAAAATCTTCTTAAAACACGAAAACAGACGGAAATGTTGAACCAACAATAATGAAGAAAATTGTTCCAAGTGACTGAGACAAAAAATCAGGGTGATGAAAGTTTCAAGGTGTCGTTTTTCAGTTAAACTGTAATTTCTGCAAAACTACGAGAGTTATTCAAAAACCCTTCAAGTTGTTTTTTATCATTGAACTACTGATTATTCTTAAACCCAGAAAAAAAAACAGGAGTATGTTTGAAAAGAAATGGCGACGCCCTGAAATTTGTTAAACTTTGCACTGTTTTATTTTCCACCCTGTATATTGTAGATAACGTTTCTCTTCATCAGCACGATACCATATACCTTAAATACCAAACAATGCGCCACAGTATGCTCCAAACCGATATCAAATATCTCTTATACCTTCTGAGATATTTGACTTCAAAAATAGGCAATAAATTACTTTTATGCGTATCGAAGTTCCAGCAGTTTAGTTGACAATTACCTTACCATTTACAAATTATTTTTTCTACTTGCGTGCGCAAAGTTGTCACTTTGCACACCCATTTGCGTGCGCAAAGTTGAACTTTGCGCACGGAAACTCTTTGCGCATTCGTTTTTGTTACGCATAATTACCATAGTTATACGTGATTTTTCAATGTTTTGATGGTTTCTGAATAAACTAATATTCAAAATACAGGGTTTTAGTTGAAATTAGCGCTTAGTTAACATGATGTCTCCTATCAAAGGTGTCCAAATTGGACCAGCCTGTACTGCTAGGAATTTGTAGAATTTTTGATATTTGAGAGACTCTCATGAAAATATTCTAGCTGGTATTCTAGAAATTCCAGAAGATGTTTAAAGATTTTTGGGAATTTAATTTAAAAGACATTCTAAGGAATTCCAATAGATTTTAAACAATTTTTGAATATTTTGATTTGATTGATTTTTCTAATATTTTAACAATTCAAAGTCTACTTATTTAAGATACTCGTAGAAAAAATATTGTTCCTAGTTCCTAACACTTGCGCAAAGTGTCTTTCCCGCACTCAAAGCTTATCCGAACTCCGCTTCGCGTCGTTCGTCTAACTGCTTTTTCGTGCGGGAAAGTATCACTTTGGGCACTTGTTAGGAAAATAACTATTTCTTCCCCCGGGGGTAAAGTTTCTTGACAACATGCAATGATGAACAGAGGACTGTTAGATTAAAAATATGCTAACAATGAAATCTGTGAAGGAATAGTCCATTTTTCTCACATTGAAAAGGGGCAAATTCCAAAGGAAACCACACACAGCTTCGTGTTCACTCTTTTATTGAAAAAACAGGAACATTTTTCATAGGGACATATGTTTCGGATTTATAAGGAACCCTTCAATTCAATATCGACTGTTGCGTGTGAAATTCTAGCAGATAGTATAATATGCAATGCAAATTGTGGTATGTGTGTTTAAATGAAATATTTGACTTACCTGACCAATTCATTTGTTCTCCTATCTGCATCCAAATAATGTCTTTTATTCCAGTGTTAGAATAATTTTTGTTTGACATATCAAACAACAATTCGTATTTAGAAATTAAACCCACGAGCTTTTCTTCTTCGTCCGACATTTTGCGCTAGTTTTTAGACTCAAAATTAATATTGAAAACACTTCGTTGCACTGCCGAACGGTGCTCTTCCGGCAAGTGAGCGTACTCTCGTTTAAAACAATGTATTATAAAAATTCCTCTTCGCCGCGCTGCCGTGCGCTACGCTCCAGTAAGCGACACCCTTCTTCTTTATCGTAAGTCGGCATTTGTCGGCAAATGGTTTAGTTCAATCAAAGGAAAGTTAATAATGTATGTTTTGATGTGGTTAAAATAAAAATACCGTATACCGCCGTTGAACTAGAGGTTTGGGTTAATGTTTAATGGTTGGGTTAGTTGTTGTGTTCTGTCGTCTTTTTGTTTATTAGGGGGTGATGAATTATTACCAAAAATTCTCCTTCTTCTATCAATATAATTAATAATTCAACAGTTGACAGCATATAAACATAGACAACACAATGTTGTTATACAATTTCCCCAAATCAGAAGAAACGTAAATTTGTATGATTTATGTAATAACAAATCCGTTGACATTTTAAAAATTCTCAAATTATTTGTTTTAGGATATGGATCTGTGTTGAATTTAGAGGGTGACGTCGAAATGGATGCAAGTATTATGGTCGGGTCCGATTTGAGGGCAGGAGCAGTAACAGTCGTGAGGGATATTGCGAACCCCATCAGGTAACAATTTTGTATTACCAATAAAGTGGGGGATTTACGCGGATTCTTGGCCACGAAAGAGACGAGACTCCTACCTCTCAAGATACTACACACAACCATGATACCCTACAGCGCTCACAAAACAGAAATGGGACATGGTAAAGTATCCCTCCACCAATTTCCCTGTCATTATCCCCCTAGTTTCGATTTCAAACAATCCCCCTTCCTAGACAGGCATATTGATGTGAGCAAGATGTGAGTATAATATGAATCTGTTTTTCTATTCACAAACCTATTTATTTAAAAAGTACCCAGCGCCGGTTCAAGGCTCTACCGGGCCCTAGGCGGCAGGATGAATGGGGCCTTAGCCCAAAGTAACTTTTTACTGTTTTTGTCCAAATTGAAAAAAAAAGCCTTCAAAAATGCTGCTGGAAAGTGTTTTATAATGTTCTAAATGACTTTTTGAAGTTCTAAAGTGTTCTAACTTGGCTTGAAGAGTTCTGGAGCATTCTAGAAGTTTTTCAGTAATTTCTAAATTGTTCCGACAGATTTTTAAGTATTTTAGAGCTCTATTGAAGCTGCAAAGAGTTCTAAATTGGTTCAAAAAAGTTCTAAACGGTTTCCAGTTCTTAATAAGGATTCAATTTAGAAGTTTGAAATTGTTCTAAAATAACTCTGAAGTTTCTCAATTGCTCTAAAAACTCCTGAAAATTCTGATTTGGATTTGAACTATTTTGAATGCCTTTAAGAGTTCTAAAATTCTATACCTACAGCAATCTAAATTTACTCTTATAAGCCTTTTGAAAGGCGTTTTGTAACTTTTAATCTGAATCCTAAGATAATTTCCAAAATTTTCTGAAGCGCTACAGAGTGCTTTTGAAAATTCTAAATTTAATTTTAAATGTTTTGAACTTTTCAAAATGCCTATTAAGTTCTATAGTGCTCTGTAGCATTTTAAATGGTTTCCAGTAACTTCCTTCTAATAAATTATATGAGAAACGAATTCTGTGAGAAATTTTTCTTAAAGACGTCCCTAAGATGTCCATAAACGACATCCAAGACGTCTTGCCTGATGCGTCTTTAAGGCGCCTCGAAGACATCTTGAAGACGTCGTAATGTAACAAAACCCAACGTCTTCCAGATATCGGCCTAAAGATGTTTTTAGCACTAAGACATTCTAAAGACTTCTTCAACGAAATGTCTCAAAGACGTTTTTGAATCTCTTTTGAATACATAAATCATTATTCACTTTTAGGCTTGATTGTACCAAATAGTTATCTAAGATATGAATTTACGACATTTTATATGGCCTATGGACAACGTCTTCTAGGCGCCGTCTTTTTTTGGTCTTCAGACGTTCGGACGTAATGCAGACCTTAGAAAAGACGTCTTCAAGACTTTGTGCCTGTCTGGGTAGATGTTCATCAGCGACATGACATAAGGTTGGGTGGACTCTACCTGAATTGGAAATCCCACAGCTACAGAACAGTGTTGCCGATAGTGTGCGTAATTCGGGTGGTGTGGTACGTCTGAGGCCGCAAGGTTGCGAAAATAGGATATTTGATTTCAGAGTGAATTTCGGGCCCCATTGAGCGTCCGGGCCCTAGACGGCTGCCTAGTGGTAAAACCGGCGCTAAAAGTACCTACCTATAATAAATATTATGTGAGCGTATGATATATTATGTAATGTGTGTTTGGTTAAGAAGTGGCTAGCTTTAGCAAATTTATCTGGATTTATTGGATTATTTTTCGTCAATTGGAAATAAAATGCATTCAAGGTAATTCCATAAAATAAAATTTATTTCAAACTAAGCTAGTGACTGTATAAAGAAGTTGGAAAATATCTAAAAACTAAAGATTATACGTAAAGCGTCTACATTGGATAATGAGCATACATGAAATTTATTTCATACTAAAATTTAATAAATTCTCCAACAAATTCAAAAGCTATTCTTGTTCCAACAATAACTCATAGTTATTTATGATATTTTTTTTCGATCTTCTTACACTTTCAGAAATTTTCTGCACTCACTGTCGACTCACCATCACTTTTTCACGGATTTCGTTGATATCATCGATCAACAAATCGCGATTAATTATTCTGTGGATTTCTCTTTCTTGAATTTCTTCCAAGGTAGGTTAAGATGCCATAAAATCTTGAATGGTTAGCCCATGGATTTCTGTTTCTTGAATTTCATCCATAGGTCGGTACAGGCACCGCAAACTCTTGATTGGTTGGCCAATGGATTTCTGTTTCTTGAACTTCACCCAAGATAGGTGAAGATACCACAAAATCTTGATTGGTTGGTCCATGGATTTCTGTTTTGTGCATTTCATCCAAGGTGGTTGAAGACGGCTTGATTGGTTAATCCATGAACATTTAAATAAATAGGTTCATGAACAGAAAAACCCAGCTTCACACGATTCAAAAATCATATAATTTGACGCAAATTTTAAACTAAAAGTTGAACCATTTTCTTTCAAAACTTGAATGCGAGCAATCTGTGAAAAATATTGCCAGATGGCAGACAATATACACGGGTGTGTTATTTTAAATGAAACAAAAGATTCTGTATGTGTAGTTAATTTATTCACATTTACATATTTAAATATTGCTACGATATCGTTAACGGCATCCGCCAGGCTGTCAAGAATCGATGTCAAATATCCTCGAATCTAGCGAATTATTCTACTATAATCGAGAAATAACATTATCGTGTGCGTTCTAGATTTTACAGGAATAGATTTAGGGATATATATGGACGGGTTTTAGCTTGCAAGTTAAGTTAAAGTTTGACTGTGATACGAGTTAAATAGTGATTATTGAGTTGTAAAGTTTAATTGTTGAGTTAATTATTAAAGTAATTAGTGTCGAGTGTATTGTTAAGTGGAATAAATTATTGCTGTGTTAATTGGACTTTTTTTGGAATAAACGAAACGAACGACGAACCCAAGATTTCTGTCCGGCGATCCAAAGCCGCGACACTGGTGCCATAAGTCGGATATAAAGGACTGCAGAGTGAAATCCAATTGCGGAAGTGCGGGGACACTAGTGTAGTGTAAAAACTGAACACTAAGTGAACACTGGGACAGTTAGTGCAGTGCGAACAGTGACAATCACAAAAAGAGACTTAACCAATCGTGTGAATTACCTACCCCGGAAGTGACTCTATACCCGATTTAGACTGTGATAGTGAAGCTTCGAGTGAGTTCTAGAAAATTCTATTTGGAAACTAAGGGAGATATCGAATTTGTGACTTCGCCGACGTATTCGGAACATCAATCGTCATTCAGAAGAGGTTTTTCGAGGAGTTTCGGGAAAATTCTAGAACATTCTATTTGGAAACCAAGAGAGATATCGAAATTGTGACTTCACCAACGTGTTTGCTGTATCAATCGACATCTAGAAAAGAAATTTCAAGAAAATTCCAGAACATTCTATTCTAGAATAAAGCAAGTTATCCAATTTGTGACTTCACCGGCGTGTTTGGAACTTCGAGCAAAGACCAGCAAAGATATTTGAAGAAAATTCAAGGGAAATTCTAGAACCTTTTGTATATGCCTATCGCAAGACAACAAGCCAAAATGGACGAACAAAAAGTTGAAGAACTTCTGCGCAAATTGTTGGAACTTCAAGAGACCAGAAGACAACAAGAAAAACAAGACGAAGAAGCCAGACGACAACAAGAAAAACAAGACGAAGAAGCTAAACGACAACAAGAGAAACAAGACGAAGAGGCCAGACGACAAAAATAAAAACAAGAAGAAGAAGCTAAACGACAACAAGAAGAAGCTAGGCGACAACAAGAACGACAAGAAGACCTTGGAAAACTGCAGAAGATATTCCAAACCAGACAAGGAACTGTCGCTAACCTAAACCAGAAGATTGAAGAAGTTAAACACGACGTCCAGGAAGTAAAAACTGAAGTCAAAATCGATGTTCAAGAAGTTAAAGACGATGTAAGAGAAGTTAAACACGACGTTCAGGGAGTAAAAGCTGAGGTCAAAGCCGATGTTCAGCAATTAAGACAAGAAGTTGAGGACCAAGTTCAAGCACTCGAAGATAAGATGCGTAGATTAGAAATACAGTCCATCAATTCAGCTAGTGTTGGAGCATTCTCCAGTATGAAGATAAAACCACCAACTTTCGACGGTTCTACGTCCTGGACCATGTATATTCGACAATTTGAAGCTGCTGCAAATACCAACGGATGGAACGATCAAGAAAAAGCTACAGCACTGATAGTGGCGCTTAGAGGACCACCCTTAGATCTTCTTCAGTCCATTCCTTCAATCTACCAACAGAATTACCAGCATCTTAGTCAAACTTTAGAACTGCGCTTCCGAGACCATTACAGACAAGAAGTATTCAGAACTCAAGTTAAATCAAGAATTCAAAAACCCGGCGAGAGTCTACAAGAATTCGAATCGGAAGTTAAAAGGCTAGTGAGTTTGGCGTTTCCTGCAGCTGGGGAAGACATGCAGGAATGGATGGCAGTATCTGCGTTTATTGATGGTCTCAGAGATTCGAAGATCCAGGAAAACCTAAGAATGTCCAAGTTCAGACAAAGTAGCGAAGCCCTTGTCCGAGCATTAGAACTGGAAGCAATCTTTGGTGCCTCACGACCCAGAATACGAGCAGTGTCCATTGAGGACCCAAAAGAAAAACAATCATCAAAAGAGGATGGCAGTTTCGAGAACCTTATGAGTAATTTCATGGAGGAAATAAAGAAAATATTACGTGAAGACAGAAAAACGGGAAACGACTCCAGACAAACACCAACACAAAGAAACCGATTAGAATGTTATCGCTGCCATAAGGTTGGACACATTCAACGAGATTGTAGAGTAAGAATGCCCTCTCCATCAAGGGATCGTTTCCAACGCTTTTCGAGATCAAGAGACGCCAGCCCTAATAACAGACAGGGAAACGAGAACTAACCAGTATGGAGGGGCGAATGCTGGTTAGTAATGACGAAGCCCCCAGGGTTGTTTACATAAAATCATTGGGCAGTCATTAT